TAACTTAGGATTTAATTTTCAGCCTATTTCCTCTTTTGTCTGCTTGCCCCGCTCCACAATCCCCATTTAGTCCTTTTTTCTAGTTGAAACAGTTCAGGGCCGGCTATGGCCGTTTGGTTTTAATTGGAAACTGTCTCTTTAAATTTTGAGGAGATCTGCGCATGCGTAGTAGAACCCTCCGAGGGTGGGGCTGGAGTGCCCACTAGCTCAGGCACCCCTATAGTCACCAGAATCGAGGTGCGCAGACAGCAAGGACCAATGAAGATACCAGAAGAAAAGAATGTCCACACCTTTATCACAGTGGTTCTGCCAGGCGTCTGTGGCCGCTCCGATCCTTCCCCCACGTGGTCTCACCCAAGATGGCGGCTCTGGGCGCAGCCGAGCAGCCCGGACTAGAAAGCAATAGATTTCTTGCTTCTGCCACAGATTCCCCCAGCTGTGAGCCTTCCAACCTTCTAAGTATTCCTTTATATGCGGTTCAGAGTTCTGGAACCATCCCCTGAACCTGCTTGGTCGTCAGGTATTCTGTGTTGTTGTTGGCGGAGCTCTCTGCTATACGTCCACCCAATCCGCCATCTTGTTTGTTGTCCGTATCTTATTTTTGAACACATCACTATTAACTATTTTGAACTATGACTGATTTTACTATGTTGTTGTTAAAGTGCTGTCAAGTAGGTTCTGACTCATAGGGACTCTGTATAGGTCTTTTGAGGAGCAGGTGGTGGGTTTGAACTGCCGACCTTGCAGTTCATGGTTCAGTGATGCTGATCCTACAGTGCCACACTCTTTTATTTAAGTAAACCTAGGTTTTACTTTTGTAGTGAGGTGATTTCTTTTCTTCTGTTTTTTGTTTTGAATGTATTCCTTGTATGGAAAGGTTGAAAACACACCCATAAAGCTCTGCATCAACTACTAATGTAATGCTTTGCTTGCTTTATTGCTTTCTTTGTTCCCCTCTAAATAATTTGAAAATAACTTGCAGACATCAGGATACTTCACTCCTCTTTACTTTCTGTAATATTATCTATATAATCAATTTGTAGTCAAAATCTCCCCCAAACTAAATCCATTGTTCTTGGGCCAATTTGAACTCATAGAGACCCTATAGGACAGAGTAGAACTGCCCCATAGGGTTTTCAAGACTGCAAATCTTTCTGAAAGTACACTGCTCCATCTTTCTGTCATGGAACAGCTGGTGGGTTTGAACTGACCAACTTTTGGTAAGTAGCCAACTGCCTTATCCACTGTGACACCAGGGCTACTTAACCAAATCTTCAGTTAGCTCTAATCTTCTTTATAGATTTTTTTTTTTTTTTTTTTAAATCCAGGATCCAATTAAGTTCCTGTCTTGTATTTAGTTAATTTGTTAGTTTTCACGAGCAACTTATTAATAATAGTAATAAGAAAATTAGCTTTTGTTATTAGTAATAAAAATTATCTTTATTTTGAAATCCTAATCAATAACTGGATTCATTATCTTAGATTATCTTCAAGGTAGTCATTATTACAACTTTCCCTAATAAAAAAAGATTCTGCAACAGCGGGTTAAGTCACTTGTTTAAGGTATATAGTTAATAGGGCAGAGTTGAAGTTTGAACACAGCCGTGTCTCATCCCAAAGACTACTGTCTTGTTTTTAATGCCAGACTGGTGTATTGTTGTTGTTAAAGTGCTGTTGAGTTGGTTCTTACTCAGAGCAGCCCTGTGTAGGGTTTCCAAGAAGTAGCTGGTGAGTTTGAACTGCCGCCCTTGCTATTCAAACCTACCTTACAGTCCAGTGCATTATCCTGCAGTGCTACACGAGGACTGGGACACTATTAATATGAACTTAGAAATATTTGATCTAAAAAATAAAAACAATTTTATAGGCCTAAAAGTTTATTAAATATAGATGATTCCCATAGATTGGGTTAGTTACATTTTTGAAGTCTCTGTTAACCTTCAGATTCTGCGATAATTGCTTCATAAATCTACATCATTCATTCATTATGGGGGGAAAAAGTAATAATGGGGGAGCTATAAAGGCACAAAGTGACTGGCTTACAAGTTTTCAAGAGGGAGGTCAGTTTCAAAGTGTGCTGGGGAAGGTAGAATCCCCACTGAATAGTTTCATCTTGTCTAGATGGTGAAAGGAGACGGAGATAAGATTCTTAGGATTCAATAGTGAGTAAATGTTATCATGACTGATTGCGACTGTCACAACTGTAAAGGTCGAAGTTCTGTAACAAAAAGTGGGGAGTAGTTAATCTTACATTCCAGAAACAGAGGACCCTAGGACCATCAAGGGATAAGAGCATGGGCATAATGTGGGACCCTATCCAGAGAAGCAACGACACCAGAAACGGCGGCAGAGATGAGAACATGAAGACATAGAGTAGCTGAGGACTCCAGATTCATGGAAAGAGAAAGGCTGTGTCTTGGTGGCCAGGAGGCAGGCTTGCAGAATGTGCCCTTTGGTTGTTTAAAAGATTATATATTCCTGAGTGCTTTTATATACATCTCCCCAAACAAAACAAAACAACAGAGGGAATAGATGCAAATACTGTTGAATGATGATGCATGGAGGAGATTGTAGTCATTGCAATGAAACGATGAATGTAAAACTGATATTCTCCCATGAAAACTGTCACTCAGTTCACAATAAAAACTGTGTGCAGTCTGTCTCCATACTCCCCCAATACACAGTTTTGTGTGTGTATGTGTGTGTGTATATACATATTGGAAACAAATACATGAGGAGGCTTCAAAAAGTCTGTGGAAAAATGGAATGAAAAGATAATGGAATTTGTTCCACTAAGTTTTTGAAGCCCTCTTGTATGTATATAGACACACACACACACACATATATATACACACACACACACACACATATATATATATATACACACACACACACACACACACACACACACTGAACAGATAGATTGAGATAATTAACATACTATATAATTCACCCACTTAAAATATACAATGCCATGGTTTTCAGTATGTTCACAGAATTTCATCGACTATCACCACAATCAATTTTATAACATTTTCATCTGTACACACACAAGAAAAACCCAGAACTTTTTAACTGTCATCCCCTATTTCCTCCAAATCCTTTAGCCTTCTTGTCATTGTTAAGTGCTGTCAAGTCGGTTCTAATTTATAATGACCCTGTATAGGGTTTCAAAGGCTATAAATCTTTTTGGGAGCAGGAATTCTATCTTTGTCCTGAAAGGCACTGGTGGGCCTGAGTTCCCGAGGAGGCACTAGTGGGCTTGAACCATAAAGCTTATGATTTGCAGTCCAGTGCTTACCCTACAGCACTATACAGGTTGTCATTGTTAAATGCTATTAAATCAATTTTTGATTCATAGTGACCCCAAATGACAGAGTAGGACTTCCCCTAGGGTTTTCTAGGTTGTAATTTTTACAGGGGCAAGTCGCCAACTCTTTATCCTACAGAATTGCTGGGTGGTGGATTCAAATGCCAGCTTTTCAGTTAGCAGCTGAGTGCTTCAACTGTTGTGCCACCAGGTTCCTTATCTCTTAACCCTGTTGTTGTTGTTAAGTGACCTCGAGTCAATTCCAACCCATAGTGACCCTATATAGAGTTTCCAAGGAGCAGCTGGTGAGCTTTAACCACTGACCTTGCAGTTCAAATGATTTTGCAGTCTGACACATTAGCCCATCACGCCACACCAGGATCACTAGTATGTTATTCTTGCTTGCATATTTTGGACAATTCATATAATTTGAATCCTGTAGTATGTGTTTTTTTGTGATTGATTTCTTTAGCATAGTGTCTGTGTGACACATCTACCCTCCTTTTTTTCTTGTATTAATTGGGATCATACAACTGTGGTTATCCTTTTGTATTCTTCTCTTAATGTTTTCAGGATTCATCCACATTGTAGCATTGTCAGTCCTTCGTTCTTTTTTATTGTTGAATAATATTTCATTCTATTAATATGCCATATATTGTTTGGATTGTGTCCAATTTTTGGCTATTGGGATATTATAAATAATGCTACTAACAACAACATAACTAAGAAATGGTCGGTGTTCAGACATCTCAAGAGGTAGTGTGTGATCAAGAATCGATGGTACTGAAGGAGGAAGTCCAAGTTGCACTGAAATCATTGGTAAAAAAGAAGTCTCCAGTAGTTGACGAAATATAAACTGAAATCTCTCAACAAACTGATGCAGCATTGGATTTCCTAATTTCACTCATCTGTGACATTTGGAAGACAACTACCTTGTTAATTGATTTGAAGAGATCAATATTTGTGCCCATTCCATAGAGAGGTAACCTAATGGAATGCAGAAATCATCAGACAATATCATTAATATCACATGCAAGTAAATTTTGCTGAAGAGAATTTAAAAACCACTGCAACAGTATATTGACAGAAAACTGTCAGAAATTCAAGCCTAATTCAGAAGAAGACATTAAACTAGGGACGTAATTGCTGATGTCAGATGGATCTTGGCTGAAAGCAGAGAATACTAGAAAGATGTTTACTTATACTTGATTGACTATGTAAAGTCTTTGAACTATTTGGATCATGACAAGCTTAGGATAACATTGTGAAGAATGAGTATTCTAGAACACTTAATTGTGCTCATGAGGAACCTGGACGTAGATCAAGAGGAAGTTGTTAGAACAGTACAAGTGAATACTGAATGGTTTAAAATCAGGAAAGGTGTGTGCCAGAATTGTATTTTTTCACCATACTTATTTATTCTGTATGTTGAACAAATAATCCGAGAAGCTGGATTATATGAAGTATAGAACATGGCATCAGGATTGGAATAAGATTCGTTTACAACCTTGGATTGCAGATGGTACAACCTTGCTTATTAAAAGTGAAAAGGACTTAAAATACTTGTGACTGAAGATCAAAGACTTACAGCCTTCATTGTGGATTGCACCTCCATAGTTTGTAAAATTAAACTAATAATCCTCACAACTGGACCAGTAAATAACATAAATGGAGAAAAGGTTGATGTTATCCAAGACTTCATTTTCCTTGGATTCACAATCAGCACTTATGCAAGTATTAGCCAAAAAATCAAATGACTTATTGCATTGGTAAATCTGTGCAAGACCTCTTTAAAGTGTTCAAGAGCAAAGGTGCACCTGACAAAAGGCATTGTAGTTTCATTGGCCTCATCTGCATGTGAAAGTTGGACAAGGAATAGGAAGACCATAGAACAATTGATGCATTTGTGTTATGGTGTTGGAGAAGAATATTGAAGGCATCATGGACTACTAGTGTGTTGGAAGAAGTATAGTCTCGGAATGTGCCTTAGAAGCCAGGATAGCTTTGGACATGTTATCAGGAGGGACCAGTCCACGGAGAATGACATCATGCTTGGTAAAGTAGAGGATCAGCAAAAAAGAGGAATAGCCCGACGAGATGGATTGGCGCAGTGGCAGCATTAATGGGCTTAAGTGTAACAGCAATTGTGAGGATGGCATTGGACCCAGCAGTGTTTTATTCTATTGTGCATAGGGTCATTGTGAGTTGGAGCTGATTTGATGGCACCTAACAACAACAATGAGAACATTTGTTTAAAAAAGTTCCATATGGTATGTGTTCTCATTTCTCTTGAGTATATTGTTGTTGTTTCCGAGGAGCCGCTGGTGAGTCTGAAACGCCAACCTTACTTTACAGTTGCAGTATTAGTGTTGCATACCACAGCACCACACGAGGACTCCTTTGAGTATATACTAGGAGTAAAATTTCCAAATCACATAGTAACTCTTTTTAACTGTCAAGTTTTTGAGGGTTTTTTTTTCAAGTTGACTTTTTAAATGACTGCATTATTGAACTTTCTCAAGCAGTATGAGGGTTTTGATTTCTGGGTATCCTCACCAGGATACATAGTGTAATGATGCTGTAGGATCACCATAAAGTAGGCAGTTCAGACCCACCTTGGAAACCCTATACAGGGTCACTATGAGTCAGAATTGACTTGCCGGCACTTAACAACAACAACGATATCCTAGTGGGTATAAACTGGTGTCTCATTGTGGTTTGTCTCATTTGTGGCATTCACTCCCTGTCTCTACACACAATGACACTTTTTTAGGGGACATTTTCCACAAGTTGCTTGGTTCTGGTGAGACCAATGTCCTTGTTTTATTTTGAAAAAATATAAGTATCCTTTTGAGTTGGGTTCAGATTTTGAGAGTAAGTTAGTTGTAGTTTACTATGGTTATGTAATATTGTAACATTTTTAAACACTGCTTTTCCTGGAATCAGTAATAAGTTTCAGGTATTTTCTTGCATGTTTTCACTGTTCTGAAATATTTTTGTTCTTTGCTGTGAATAAAGTCTAGAATGGCAAAAAGATGGCAACTGCATGACTGGTAAGGAAACTAAAATGGAAGTGCACAAGTACACACATTCTGTCTAGCTCCTGCTTCTCTTTCTTACCACCTAGCACCGTGCTAGTGAACAGTAAGACTTACATGAATATTTTTGAATAAATAGATAGAAAAGGGTATTCATTTTCTTATCTGAATCTCCTAACGGGATTTTTATAACCTGGACGAAAGAATATTTTGTTTTCATAGACAGATAAAATAATCTAAAGTGTATAATATATATATTTATGAGGTGGCTTCAAAAAGTTCATGTAAAAATTCCGTTGTCTTTTAATTCCATTTTTCTACAGATTGTTTAAGTCCCTTTGTATTTATCAGCATAGAAATTCCATATGATAAATATTAAAATGACTTCCTAGTCAGTTTCTTTGACCTCGAAAATGAGTGAGTTTATTTAACTTCAGAAATGAATGTTATCTAAGAGAACAACAGAAGAACGTTGTAACAATTTAATGTGTAGAAACTCATATTTTTTTTCTGTCTCAGTCATATATGTTTTCTATTTTAGCCACTTTGGAGATTTATTAATGATACTCAAGACAAAAGAATGTTAGTTTATAAATCTGATGATATCAAGAATGTTTCACGTTTGCAGTCCCCAAAAGTATGTGGATATTTAAAAGGTGATAATGAAGACTTGCTTCCAAAGGGGCTAGTAGACAGAGAACCATCTGAAGGTAAGACTTAAAAACTTTCTTTTAATCAGAAACAAGTCTTAAAACCATCTTTAATAAAGATGGTTGTTATTTGATTAAAAAAAATAACTGTAGTCTTTGGCTTGAAAATGGTTTTGTTCCAGAAATTCTTATGTTAATTCTTTTGTCTATAATGTGAAAGTTGATAGAAAATAAATGGAAACAATGAAGATTGGGGAAAGGGAAAATTGAATGATCTGAGGGAAAATATTATTTGAAGATCTTTAGAAATGATAATAGTATTGAAAAGCAGTTCTTCAATTTTATGAAAAATTAGTTACACTCACTCCTTACTTATTAACATGGTTAGATTTCAAAGACCAAGTTGATATGTGAAAATAGAGGATGGCCACTTCATAATAACTGCCAAACCACAACATTATATAACTGCCAGATTATATCACTGTTATCACTGCCAAACTCCTGGGAATCAGGGTCCAGCCAAATTGACATGTGACTTTGGCATTCATTATTGCCAAATGGGTATTGTTAATGTGCAAAGTTATTGGATTGTAGGATTTTTACTGTTGTCATAAATGCAAAATGTCCGACAACAAGACAGTCAATAACTGAAGAGTGAGTGTAGTTGGTAAAGGGAGTGAGTGACCTGTACTATTCAGAATAAGTTAAATATTTTAGGGACAATTATAGTATTGAAAGTATTGATATTAGTGGGAAAGATGTATTTTTCATTGGAGTAGATATATTTAGAGTAATTTAATAAAAAAAAGAAACACTACCACCTTGGAGATATACTCTGCCTTTATTTTTGAAAATCTTAGAAATATTGTTAGCATATTAGTATACAAATAAATTCTTCAAGAATTTGTTATTTGAAAAGAAAAATATCCTATTAACACAAAGTAATGTTTAGTGTTTGATTCTCTTGATGTTTCTGCCATTACTTTAATTTGCAGACGTCTCCTTGAATAAGATAAAGGTTTTTTAGCCTAAGAATAGGTGATTGTTTTGTTCTGTAAAGTGATTTTTAGAGTTTTATTATTTTAAAAAATAAGGAGGGAATTTTTCTTTTCCTTAGTTTTGAATTCTGCAATTTAAAAATCTTGTATTTTTCATTTTTCTTTTACTAAATTGTTTTTATGTTCAACATACCTTTAAGGATACTGAGCTAAAATAATATTTTTTTCAGAACTATACTAGACTTAAAGTGTTACTATAAAAAATTCCTTGTTTTGGTGAATTTTGATTTAATAGTGCATACAAATTCATATTAGAGCTTGTTCATCGAGTGAAGAGAAGAGCTGACCCTAATCCTTTGAAGAACACGTGCAAATTATTGGTGGTAGCAGATCATCGCTTTTACAAATACATGGGCAGAGGGGAAGAGAGTACAACTACAAATTACTTAGTAAGTATTTAATATTGAATAAGTAAGTGGATGAAGAAGTCATGTAGGTAGGTCAATCCATTTAATAGATGCTGATATATTTTTGAAACTTTATGAAACCAGATCTGCTTCAGATATTCTGTTATTTCCCCATAATATTTGTGGACTGTCCTCTGTGGTTCTGACATTACTATGTGGAAATTCTGCTTTCAAATTTATGAAAATCCATTTTACTTTTGAACTACTGTTTTCTTATTTTTGTGTATTAGAATTTTTATGCACATTAGATTTTGGGAGAGGTCATAACATAAGCCTCACTTCTTTATACAACTGAATTCTTTATTTGCTTTTAGATTATAACCTTTATTTAGGTATTAAAAGGTCCCAGAGTCCAGTCATTATCAGGAATTTACAATTCTTCATGAGTCTTTAGTTTGAAACATAGTATTTGAATTGTTTAGCACTGTCATCTACCCCATTTTTTAAATCACCACCCATACCATTACCAGTTGTTTGTTATCCAGTTGATTCTGACTTGTTGCAATCCCATGTGTGCTAGCGTAGAACTTGACTCCATAGGGTTTTCAACAGCTGATTTTTTGGAAGTAAATCATCAGGTCCATCTTTTGAACAGCTGAATTCTTTAAAATATCTGTTATATACATATATATGTATAAAAATCTTATTGGTGTCACAAGTATAGATGTGTGCCCAGATGCAAAAAAAAAAAAAAAGGCCTATTTGTATAAGCTGGTCATATCTCATGAGAGAAATATGGATTTCGTTTATGTCACATAAAAGAAGTAATTATTGGAATATAAGTTAAATATAAGGGCTTTAATGGTTATAACTAATTAATACATATATATATGAAGGAAAGATTAAAGAAATGTTGACACTGGATTTTTAAGCATTAAATATTATAGCTTTAAATGTCAAAGGAATTGTATTCATGTCTTTTGTTGCTGTTAGTATGACCTCATCCATCATGACAACTTGGCACTGACCAAACTGTTGTTATTGAGGGAATAAAAGAGAATGCAGCTATTCATGAACCGAGTGCTTAACACAGTAGAGATGTCTTTCTCATTGCCTAGTTTTTATCATTTTTACTTTTTTTTTTTTTTACCCACTTTCATCCTTTCCTTCCTTTCTTTGTCGGGTGAATGAATTTATTATGAGGGTAGTAGGAGTTGTGTGTGAAATCGCTGTAATTCTTGTTCCTAACTATGAGAGAGTCTTTCTTGAAAAAGTCTCCCTTACTCTGACATTTGTAATAATAGCCTCCTTTTAATATGCTTCTTTTGTTTATTACAGCAAGGATATGAATAAAATGAGAGGCCTAGCCTTAAAGTTTGCATTTCTTACTTTTACAATAACTTATAAGCAAGGAACAATTTTTTTAGACCTGTAACTTGCTTTAGGACTAGGGTGAGGACTAGGGTGTGCCTGACCCAAGCCATGGTATTTTCAATAACTTCATATGGATGTGAAAGCTGGACAGTGAATACGGAAGATCATAGAAGAATTGATGCCTTTGAATTATGGTGTTGGAGGAGAATACTAAAAGTGCCATGGGCTGCCAAAAGAACCAATAGATCTGTTTTGGAAGAAGTGCAACCTGAGTGCTTCTTGGAGGCCAAGATGGCCAAACTTCGTCTCTCATACTTCAGACATATTGTCAGGAGGGAACAGTCGTTGGAGGAGGATATCATGCTTGGTAAGATGGAGGGTCAGAGAAAAAGAGGAAGACCCCAATGAGATGGATTGGCCAGGTGGCAGCATTGATGGACTCAAGTGTGGCAGCAGTAGTGAGTTTGGCCCAGGATCGGACATTGTTTTGTTCTGTGCATAGGGTCGCTATGAGTCAGTGCCGACTCGGCACCTAACAGCAACAAAAACTTGCTTCATAGTTGATGGAACAAACCTTATCAACCCAGTTCTTGAACTGTAGAATATTCTTTTTGAACAAAAGAGAATTAGCATTTTTTCTTTCTCATGTAACTGGAAGCATCCTTGGATCTATAATATCCCTTCTTCCTCAACATTCCCTACCCTACCCATCCACCATATCCACACCCACCTGTTGCCCCAAATCAGAGGACAGAGAAAGAAAAAATGGTGAACTGTACCTCATTCTTCGACCGCCTACCCCCATATTTTTTAAAAAGCATTCTTAAGTACTAAACTTTGCCTGGTGGGCTAGAGTTTGGGGAGTAGTGGTAGTAGTTATCCATCACTGCTCTATAACTTTTCTGGAGAATTTCATTCTGCATTTTTCTTCTATCGTATCCAGGACCTTTTTTTGAGATTGGTAGTTTTAGCTATACGTCATCTTCTGGCTCTTCTGGTCTCAGGCCATTGGATGCTGTGGTTCACATGGTTCATTAGTCCTTTGGACTAATTCTTCATGTCTTGATTTTCTTTACTTTTTTTTTTTTAAAAAAAGCTTTTATTGTGAATGGAGTGAGAGTATACATGGGAGAACCTTGGCTTTGCATTCAACCAATTGTATTTTGTTTCATTGCAATAATTATAATCCCCTCCATGCACCATCAGTTAACAATGTTTACCTTCTTTTCCCTCTTTTTTTTGGGGGGGAGGGGGTGGCAGTTACACAAAAACACTCAGGAATGTTATAATCATTTAAACAACCCAAGGGCACATTTTGCAAGACCGCCTCCTGCCTGCCAGCACACAGTCCTTCTCTTTCCATGAGTCTAGAGTCCTCAGCTGCTCTATCTCTCCATGCCATCACCTCTGCTTCTGTCTCTGGTGCTGCTGCTTTTCTGATTAGGATCCCATGTTCTTCTCATGCTCTTCCCTCCTGATGGTCTTAGGGTCCTCTGTTCCTGGAATGTAAAATTAACTACTCCCCATTTTTGTTACACACCTTCTATCTTTACATCTATACTCTTCTTTGAACTAGCAGAGAGCAATCATTACATCTTAAATGGTTGCTCACAAGCTTTTAAGGCCCCAGTTGCTACTTAACCAATGTAGGTGAGATAGAACATTGGCTTTGTGGATTGTGATATGCCAATTGACCTAAAGGTCTCCCAAGACTATCATTCTAAGTCCGCAAGCTAAGTCACTCATTTCCTTAAGGTGTTTGATTATGACTGAGAAATTTTCATACATTTGCCCACTGTATACTCTGTGATATATATGGATATATTTGTAGTACATACAAATATCGAAATAGCTTCTGTCAAACCTATATATATGAGGCTAAGTAAAAAAAATACTGCTATAAAATCTTAGAAACTTTTATGAAACAAAAATATCAAAATGTAAAGCTATTGTTCCTTGACATATCCTTCAACTAAGTCTGTAAACTTCTGAAGGAGCTGTTTCCATCTGTCTAACCCTTCCTCCAGAGTCCTGGTGTGGTGCTGTAGGATAAGGAAAGACTGAATGCTAACTGCAAGGTAGCTTCCTTGGAAGCCCATACAGGGTCACTGTGAGTTGGAAACAACTTAACAGCACTTACAAAACAACAAACTTAACAACAACCTTCCTCCAGTCTCTAGAGAAGGACATCCAAGGAGTGGTAGAGAGTCGGTGAAAAATAGGGAGATCCTCAGTGAGCTGGATTGTCACAGTGATTGCAATAATATGGACTCAAGAACAGGCATGACTGTGAGGAAGGCATCAGATTGGGCAGTGTTTTGTTGTACTGTACATAGAACAGTAGCTCTGAGTTAAAACCCACTGACTCAGTGACATCTAACAACAATCCTTCCTGGGAGAATTCTATACTCTTCACTGTATACCATGTCAAGACAGTAGTTGTGGCTTCTTTCAGGTACTCAAGTCCTGTTCCTTTTAAATGTTCTTTGAGTTTGGGGAACAAAAGGAAGCATGAAGGGGCAAGATCAGGGCTATAGGGTGGATGGTGTAAGGTTTCCCAACAAAATTATTGTTGAACTGTCCGTGCTACCCTCAGAATGAGCAGGTGCATTGTTGTGATGGAAAAATATTGCTTTGCACAACTTTTCTGATATTTGGACTTTTTCTCACCAATTCAGTTTTCAGTTATCTTAAAATTTCTTCTTAATAAGCCCTTGTGACCATTTTGTGTACTTGGAGAAGATCGATCAAAATGCCTTTGGAATTCCCTCCAAAAAGTGGTTGTAGCCTTCTGAATCAATCTCTCTGCCTTGAATTTAATTGGCTTAGCAGATCCCTTTGAAAGCCACTGTTTTGAAGCCACTCTGTATCTTATTGGTAAATCCAAGACTTGTTCCCATATATAATTTGTTCTATAAAATTGTCTTGATTAGGAGCCTGGGGCAAGAGGCCAGAGTAAGTGGATGCACTGAGCTAACTCTGTGCAACAAAGACATTGTCAGTTGAGTGAAACAGATATGGATGGTAATCTTGGAAATCTGAGCATCAGAGGCTAGGACAGAGAGGTGCACTGAGTGCTGAATGGAAGAGGAAAGCTAAACAGGATCAGTGAGAGAAGAAAAACAGGTGGACTGTGGGCTGATTTAGAGCGATGCAGCAATCTTCAGCTTTTGTGAGCAGCTGTTGACATAGTGACCTGTAGGCACAGGATGCAGCTGGAGGTCTCACTTGTTCCTGTGCCCTCCTGGTAGATAGGGATGTGACCAGTCCACACCCTCACAACCCAATGTCCAATGGGACCCCCACCTACACAGCCTCTGCTCTGTCTGGGGTCGGGTGCATAGCATAGCTCCCCTGCTTCTTTTTGGAGGTGTGTGAACTTGCCCTAACTATGCTATAAAAACAGCGAACAGAGAACTAACTTATGTTCACACTTTGTGACTACCACATCCACCAGGAGACAGGTGGTGAGCGCCTGAGAACACACCAATATACATTCATCACCTAAATAGAAATATGACACGGACTTCTGGTATGGTGCCACTGGACTGCATACCACAAGGTTGGCAGTTCAAACCCACCAGTTGCTCCTTGGAAACCCTATAAAGGGTAGCTATGAGTCAGAACTGACTTGATGGTACTTAGCGGCAACAACAACAATGTCTCAG